CGCGTGTTTCCTGCAGACCATCACCTCCTATGGTGTCTGCCGCGGTAATACCCTTCTTGCCACTGCAAATGCACCTTGCGTCTCTTCGCTTGAGTCAAATGAGCAGTTCTGCCAGTGTACTCGTGGGGGGTCGGGTCACTGTAGCAACGCTGTTGAGCACCGCAACCGCTTGCGCGGTCTTGGCACGTGTGTGTGAGGCGTCCGCTTGCGCCAGTCAAGCCCTTGAATGCGTAGTTGTAGCAGCCAGTTCGCGCTTAAGGCTGACTCACTTCTAAAGAGGGGTGGAGAGGGCGAGTCATCCTTTCCGCAGTGGTAGTTCTAAAGGGGGGCTTGGGTTGTGCTATTACATACTTTGAGCTTGCTTGGATACTTGCTTCGCTTTCCACCACTGCAAAAAGGATGACTTAGTGCGTCTGCTTGTGTAGGTGGAGCTGTCTGTGGCTTGGGGTCAAATGTGAACCATCTGTTTTGACGCTTGCTGCCCTGAAGCACACTAGGCACTGCAGACTCTTGCCTGCTGCTCTGGTCGCCTGGTGGCGCAGCTTTGGCATCAGCACCGTGCTTTGGCTCTTCCTCAAAGACTCTGTGGACCACATGTCAAATCCTTTTAGTCAGTTTTGGTAGATGAATTTTGGCAGTTCTCCCGCATGAGTTCCACAAAGATTCTAGCAAGCTTTGGAGAAATTACTTGTTCATCCTCATTACCCTCAAGATTCCAGCTACAGATACCATCGCTGTCATCATTCTGGCTATGCAGCTAGCAGCGCATGGGACTACGCGGAAGCAGCTTTTTCCGCAACAGCATTACGGTAGTACGAAGCCATGATGCTGCTGTTGTTGCTGTTGCTGTTGCTGTTGTTGCTTCTGTGCGCGGTGAGAAACTGTAAGCTGCATCAGCGGTGGCTTTATCTTTTTGTCTTGTCACCCCATTTTCCATGCTGGCTGTTGTGGCCATCATTATTTTGGGTTCTTGATGTCCAGGATGACGGCTGCAAAGCTTCGTTGGCGCAGTGATGGGCGAAGTTCCTTGCAGAAAGTCATCATCAAGCCAACGTGTTACCACAGCCCAAGCTCAGCTCTGCATGGCAGACATGACAAGTCCAAATGACAGCGTGGTTTGCACTCTGTCGTCTCCAATCTGCAGGAGTTTCATCATATTTGTCTTCCTGAATGCCCTTGCTTCCAAGGTGTTCTGCTGCAAGAGAGGGACCGCTTCTGCGCTTGCCGGGTGGGGTTGCCGGCTCTGGAAAAAAACTGTGGCAACTGCTTTGCAGCAATCAACCTTTTGGCAGGTTTACCTGATCAGCACTGCATCCTGAGATTGTCAGGCTCTGGCCTGTTGCTAATAGAACCTCCAGGTCAAGGCGAATAGCAGCGCCATTGCTGAAAGCTTTCCAACAGTGCCTGCTGTTCCATGGAATCAAACATGCAGCTCACGCCCGGGGCAACTGAGGTTGGAGAGATTGCGACAAAAGGTATAAACATGCAAGCAGGGGGAACACATTGCTCGGCCAACACACCTCCTCTTCCTGAACCAGAAGCGTTAGCAACCAATGGTACGTGCCTTGCGAGTTAGTTTTGGATACCTGAGCTCGAAGCCTGAGCATGGATGCCAGCCTCACCTCGGATGGGGACAGCGACCTCGAGGCTTGCGTGGATGCGCTATGTAATATGTCACAGATCCAACACGGATTTTGTCCTAGGATTCCGCAACTGTGGGCTTGGTTTCGGGATGGGAGCAAAGCCGACGCAGCTCTCCGGTTGTCGCTTCTAACGTGCCTGCGGGGGCGATCCGGGAAATTTTTTTTGAAGGGTGGGTGGTACTCGCAGTAGTGCTGCTGCTGGAACTACAACATGGACGACCACTACTACAATTTTTCCAGCTGCTCCTGTTCCTGCTCCCGCTATGGAAAACCCTACAATCTTGACCTAAAACCGCAAGCCGTAAAGCCTGAAGAATCCCAAGCCTTATACGATAAAAATGGAAGCCCGAGGAGATCATTAAAGAAACTCCAAACCCTGAAAGGGTCTAGGCTGGACATCCGCTTGCACCCAAGCTAGTCCCATTACTGTTGCTGTCCTCTAGCAGGTTTCTGATGCTCCTCCCGCTGCTGCTCTTCCCGCTGCCGCTCCCGTTACTCCCGCTCCCGTCGCTCCCGCTGCCGCTGCCGCTGCCGCCACCGCGGCCGCCGCTGCTGCTGCTACTACCACATCACATGCCGCAATAATTGCTACTATTATTCTACAGGCCATTCGCGACTGTTCCATACTGCTTCTGGTTATCATGTATTGGGTGATGATCTTCTCCTAAAAAGCCTGAACGCAAGGACACGGAGTGCCAGGCGCTCGTGGGCGAGTCAAGGAGGCCTTCGGCTCTTGCTTCAGGCTTAGGGTATCAATGTTTGGGGTTTGGGGTTTCAGGCGTATGGCTAGTTTTTTTTGGTTTCAGCATGGATTTAAACAAGGGGTTGCGCACCCTTGTCCACCGCAGCCTGGTTTCCAAAACAGGTTCACAGACAGAAGTGACACAAGAGCTTTCTCCAGTAATTATCAGTGTTGACGTGCCGAAGCCAGCCTGGCACGAGAGGTCAGACGGCGGCTGCTGCTGTGGGGTTTGTTGCAAGGCTGCGCCATCACGCATGCTGACCATTCCAAAGTGTCCAAATCACAGATGTTGGGAGGTGTGGATGTGCCACAGTAGTCTGGATTTGGGCTCTAGGTTTGGTCCTTACAGGTCTTCGGGACAAGTGCCAAATGGTAACGGTAAGGCCCGGGTCGAGAACTCAAACTTGGCCTTTTGGATGAGTAAATTAGAGTATCTCAAGAACACGTGTACTACATGATTACAGCTGTCACACGATCAATCGCACAAGATCAGAAGCAACAAACAACGATGTTTTGATCAGAGCCCAGAATTGCTTGCAGGTTTGTCTTCTTTTCACGCTGTGCCTGCTTGTTGTTGGCACGGTTTTTCGCCAAGAGCTGACGACCCACTTGGCGGGCATAGGCTGGGATAAAAGTCGCATGTCAATGTACGTTTACGTATGTGGGGCATATTTCATACTATGCCCCCATGGCATAAATATATACATATATGTATATAAGCGCACATGCGTGTCTATGTATGTGTGTGCATATTGCCCACATATAAGATCTAAATGCGCCTGTGAGAGTGGGTATTTGTAGATCTTCGAGAGCAAATGCTGCACGTGCCTCCCCGCTTGGGGCATCCCTACATGCTGGCATTTAGCTTATGACTCACGACTTTTACCTGTGGGTATGTGGGCTTATTGCCACTGCATTTTTTTTGTGGATTTGCTCTGGGTGGGGTATGTAGCAACATGCCGGGTGTGCAGCTTTTTCTGGTTCAACCCTAAGTCATGCTACAGATTCTTTTCCTTAGGGTCCTGGCAGCATGCAATCATGGAAGCAAGCTGTAATTTTCGTGAAGCCTGACGCACCAAAACTCTGATGCAGGCATTGCCGCAGCTCAAATACAGCTCCCCGTCCTTTTCTCCATTGTCCAGGTATCTTTGGATGGTTGTGGCTGCTGTGTAAGGAGTTAACGGAGAGCCATTGCGTGTACATGGAGATTCAACGAGCAAAGTCGCCAATCGCCTTTCTTTGATAGGTGCAGAGTACAAGTGCAGCTACTGTGATTTTAGCAGCTCCCAGACTCTGAAAATGATGCCCGGTTTTATTGTGGAGGATCACCGCGTGTCTGCATTGGGTGGCATTCGCTCAGTCCACACATGGATGTAATAGCGGTCGATCAAATCGGCATGTTCTCTTGCTGGGCCTCGCCTAGATGGGGCTTTCCTTTCATCGGGCATCTCACCGTGTCATCATACGACATCCAGGTTTGAGTCCGTCGATGTGGGCACAATCCGCAACACGCAGACCTTGGACCCCCACATCATTGCCAGCGTGCGATGCCCGAGCCCGGTGAATGCTGATGTGAGGACTACTCTGGTAGATTCAGAGAGCAAACAACGTCAATCAAGGTCATGCGCCCGAGCCTACGGCCTTGTGATTCAGTGTTCTAGGCTAAAAAGCAGAGCACATGATAGAGACTCAGCACTTTGAGATCCTTGGAGAAAGATGGCACAGGGATCTAGCTGTAAGCCAGCGTGGTCTGGAGTTCAAGGCCTCAGGCTCTGAGGAGTTTGGAGTCGAAGGATGAAAGAGCATGTGACAACAGAAAGGAAGAATGGAAGCCTACGCTTCTCCTGGGGTGTGCTGGTAGCTCTGCAAGTCCTGAATAGTTAGGGTCAACGTTAGAGTTCAACCCTCGCTACGAACTGCTCCTTGCAGGATGACTCGGCTGGTGCTCAAAGTGCCCACCTTCCCCACGCGGGCCCTGGCACGTGTGGGCACGGAGACTGGGCCTTATATATTGCAAATTGTTTGTCGTTTGTCTGTTTTGACCACAGATGGAACGAAGCCACAGCCCAGCTATGCCAAATTTCAGTTTGAAAGTTCGCATATAGCAGTGAAATCAAAAAGATGGAAGCCCCACGTAGTCAGCTCTCAATTTACTTAACATTATTCTTCCGAGACTTTCCTTTTTGGTTTCAGGTGACCATGCCAGCTCTGCGGGTCAAGGCAGGTCCAAAAGTCTGTCTTTGGGGTCCAAGATTCAGAAGACGCGGAAGCTTCGGGCTTGAGAGTTCAGGAGGACAGCCTAGAGAAGATGGCCGCAAAACATTTCGTGGTTTCTCGGGCTCAGTGTCCAGATTTCGCTTCTGTTGGAGAGCTCAAGGCCTGAGGCTGGTACTGGGGTGGCGGCTCTTGGACCTTTGCAAGCACGTGTTCAGCAAATTTTGTTCAGTAGATTAGTGTGAATGGCACTCAATTCATATTGCATGTAGCTGCTTGCTGCGAACCTTGACAAGGTTTAATATCTGAGTAGTGGCGGTCCCTCCCCTCTCTCTCTCTATCTCTCTCTCTCTCTTTGGCTCAGGTCTCACATTATAAGCCGATGCGGAGGAGGTAATAAGGGCCGAAGCATCAGTGCGTGGCTTCTGCAGGCCTTCCAGGACTTGCTTCTCAATGCCACAGCCCACGTCGAGATTGAGGACTTGGGCGTCTTTGGGCTTGCAGGCATGGGAGAATTGCGCTTCAGGAATGTTCCGGAGAGTCTATCAGTCTATCATGATCTACATTACACATGTGGTGAATTCTGGCAAGGCACTCAACTCTTGCTGGCCCTTTCGAAGCGTAGCTGCCAGCCGAAGAAGTCACGTAAATGGCTTGGCATCTACACCAATCTCTGGGACATGAGGTTGGACCTTTTATGGTTTAGAGCGATGCCTACCGGCAAGCCCGGCCAGAGCAGCAGTGCATAATGCGAAGTAGTAGTGAGGCGGAGGATGATTATAGACTATGATCATGGCAGTCTCAGCAATGGCATAAGCACACGACAAGTGACTAGGACCTGGCACAGCGGCAAGGAATTTGCGCTGGTCTTTTCTAATGGGCCTGCCGGACTACCAGCTATCAATACATGATCACCAAGGGCATTCCCGAACAACGTTGGAAAGCATTACCTTTAGATATTTAGGCTGCCCCATGGCCCTTGTCCAGGAGGACGTGACAAAGCCCCCGGGCCTGGAAGCCCCATAATCGTTCATTTCTCAGAACGTAAGTGACTATGATTCTGAACCCTACATCAGATGTCCAGCATCTCATATGCTGCACTCTGGGCATCCAACACGTCCATGTACGATCCTTGGCGCTGGACAGTTCCGCGTTGAAATCTTACTTATACAAGATAATTCAAGGACCAGAAAGGGGGACCACCGCCAAACAACAGGCAAGCATGCGGTTCGGGAGCCGGACTCCGCTTGGGTTGTGGAGGGACAGCTCCAGGCTCGGCTTGTTCCAGTGATTCTGCTTGTAAAGCTACAGTCAACAATTTCGGGTTTTGCCTAAGTGGAATGGTTGCAGGTCAGTTGTGACCTGGGGCTCTTCACAATGGAGATTGGAGACATCCCCTTCAAGCGGGAGGTGGCCCTGAAAGGCGCGGTGTCAATGACCAGGATTGCGTGCTGCATTGTGTTTGCTATTCGACAGGGCCCAAACATGCAAGGCCAACGCGCATTTGCTCGTGTTTGCATTTGCTGCGGTTGAAACAGGATGAGCTTGTGTGGATTTGAAACAGGTCGAGCCTGTGTAGTCAGTGTAGCCCGCCCGTAAGAGTTCTGCAGAGCGTGTCTTTCAAGAGGCGCATTACCCCTTGTTTAAATAGCAAAACCACCGGGAAGAAAGTCGGACCCGACCACTGTCAACCGGCAAAATTCACTCAACTAGTTCCCCACAGTCAATATACACCATTAGACAGATTGCGCGAGAAAACTACGTTTGATGCTGCGCAACAGAAAGCTGTTGAGCCTGTGATTGTCGGGCCTAACGAAATCCTCTACAGCTTTGCATTTCCCTAGGCAAAGCTGTAGCGGATTTCCGTAGGCCAGAAGCAGCGGTGTGTAGATTTCTGTGGCAGTGCTGCAGTTTGGTTGCATCCCAAACCAGCCACCGCATCAGACCCTTAATCTTCGTAAGGAAAATGCTATGTTGAATGGGTTGAGATCCTTCTTGATTCCAGCTATGTTCAGCATCATTGTTGCAAGTGCTATATGTATTTTGCTAATTCTGAGTTTTCGTTGCCATCGCAGGTAACTGTAGCACCATTGCCAAGCCCATCGCTCTCATGAAGGATTAGCTTGATCAGACTGCTAGTGGTTTTCGTGTGCCTGTGACAGGTGATTCTGCAAGCGGGGTTTAGGGACAAACAGACACTCTTGCCCCATCATGCCCAAGCAGGTATGGCTGGTTTCGCCCAGGATGCGAACCCTGTCACCATGCAGGCAGTCCTGCCAAACTTCTGAAGATACAGAGGAAGTGGGATGGATGGTAGGCAGTTTTTTCAAGCTTTTGGTTTCGATGGCGATCCCATTTGACGGATGCGGGGACAGGCCGTCGCAGCAAATTGAAGATTCAATCAAGAGGATTTTTGTGCGGAGGCCATCACCAAAGCTTACGGGTATTCGGACCACCTTGACACCACCGTGACCATCAATATCTACAACCCCTCCTATCTTTCTGCCCGCCTAGCCGCTTTGGCTGCAAAAAGCTGAGGATGTGTTGTTCCAACCTGCTGCGGAGGCTAGCGCTTTCTGCTGTTCTTGGGTTAAATGCCACGCCCATGAAGCTCAGATGAAGCGATGGTGTTCACCAGGACACGCCCACGCAGTTCAACATCACGCAGCGGGGACATTCTTTTGGGACGGCATTGGTCCAAGAGGTGGGGAGCCACACCAAATGCACCCATTTGACGGCTTGAAGAGACCCAGGCTCTTACTCAGAGCACCTGTGATCGAAATCATGTTTGGGCCGTACCATGTCAGCTTATCAGTGGATTATATTTGGATGGGGCAGTTGTCAAGTTGCATTGCTTGGAGGTTGCCTTGATACCTGGTCAGAACACCGTTGCCGCCACTTGACCAAATTTAGTGTTGAGAATTTCATGGGGTGGATGTCCACTTCTGCAGACGCAGCAAGTGCCGTCCCAAAACCGCATGCGGTAGAGAAGCAGCTTCAGCAAAAAGATGCAAAGCATGGGATGCCTGAGAGTAAGGTGCGCTTTCTGCTGCACGACGATATTTCGAACAGGGAGGCTGTTCGGGCCTTCATCCTTGGCCGCTTGGCCCTTTTTGAGCTGTTCTGTTTCATGAGGCAGGCATGATCTTTGAAACTAGCACAAACTAGCAGCATCAAGCAGGGTTGGGCATGGGATGGAATAAAATAGCTGTCCAGGTTGGCAAGGTACTGCAATGCCACCACATACCACCCCATGGCCAAAGTAGTTGTCAGGGTGGATGATGTGCTGCAGGCTATATTCGTGCGGACGTGCAGATGGTGTCGATGCATGGCTCGGAGAGGCTGGCCAAAAGCTGTGGTGAAGCCATCCAAAGAAATCAGCGGACTGGTGAGTGGCACGTGCTTTTTTCGAACGATTTCTGCCTGACAGGTCTTGCTCGGATCCGCTTCTAGCGGTTGTGCTGAACCTTCAACGCATTTGCTGAAAGAATCCTTAGGCTTTCCTCGCTAATGTCATCCCGCACAGACGTTGAGATTTTTGCGTAAGCTTGGCTGGAGGGTGTTGCTCTGGGAAGCTGCTTTCTGGGTGCACTTAGCCCCTTTTGCTCCTTTTGCTTACGCTGAGGGTCTCAAGGCCCCACACAGCTGTGGACATTCGCAGCTCCCCGACCATCAAACCTTGAATTTACATCCTGGCCTTGTCGTGCCTAGCTTCCGCATCTGCCAGTGTAAGCGCGCAGCTCTTAAAAGGCAATCTCAGAAATTCCTGTGAAGTCTAGTTGCCTCATCCAGACCCATACTCCCTTCAAGGAGCGGTCTCAAACTCACCTTCCGGTTCAAGCCCCCGCCTGCTCCTGGACAGAGATTGGGATTTCTGGCACGGCTTTAAGCCGCCGGGGGTCAAGACTTGTAGAGGCCTTGGCAGGCTGCTCATTTGACGAGGTAAGTTCCTGCACATGGATCTTTAATGAAGGAGCTCCAATCTACAGCGTTCATGCCTTCCGACAGCGTAAGCCGTAAGCATCTCAATTTGCCACAGGGGCTGTGCATCACGGTGTTAAAATGCATTGGGAGCAAAGCCGCAACCCTAGCCAATACCTGAGGCTTCTACACTGAATTTTGACCTGGACCTTCTTTCTTGTTCTCCTGTATGTTCAGTCAGCAGTCACGCTCTGTGCATTTCGTGCGGACATTCTCAGCCCTTCATCTCTGCGAGCTTTCAAATTATCCCCCAACAGCAGTGTAGAGTGATGCGCGGCTATCTAACAAAGTTTCAGGCCAGCTTCATCCACCACATCACGGCCAACGTGGGCATCATCGGCCTTCAGGCCTGAATCCTCAGCCTTGCTGCGGTCTAATTTCAGTCCCCGAGTCCTAGTTTTTTTGAGTCTGGGCTTGGGATCCCAGCTCCTGAAGGTGACGGCGCAGGTTTCCAACCCGCCGCTCGGAGCCAACCAAGGTCGCCAGAGCATATGCAGATTTCTGAAGGTTTTTCGTGCAAGTTTCCTAACTAGTGGGAGGGGAAGGGAGGCAAGTTCAGGGAGAGGAAGCTTCGTGACATCTTGTTGTGAAGCAAGCTTGAAGTGAGCACAGAGCAAGCAAAACATGGGCGGCAGAAAGCAAGCGCTGGCCTCCAAGCCTAATCCTGCACTTCCAGACAAGATGGAAACCTGCTCCTAAATCCCATGTGCTCAGGCTGCCGCAAGAGATAGTGATTGGTGCCACGGACTTGTCTGTACGTGAGAATACCGTGAAAGGACGGGTAAGACACCGCACCCATTTGAGGTCTAGTTCTTTCTAGTTACCAGTTGGCGGGTGGCCGCAAGAAGGAAAATGACTCACTGAATGCCTTGCTTGTGCGATATCCTGGACCCAGATGCGTGCTGTCACTGCAACATTGACTAGGTTGCAGGATTTTGTAGGATTGTGCAAGAGAGTGGGGGCTTGAGATATTGCGTCCTGTTCAAGCTGCGTTCAGAGGGAACATTTGAAGAAGACTTTGAAGGAATGGGAGTGAAGCTGCCTTCCAGCAGGCGAGAAGATCTTCCGCTTGAAGGGCAACCGAACCTCAGGCTCCCTGGTCGCAACTTCTTTGCCTCTTCGTTCCCACCAGTTCATCTCTTGTGAGGATGATTGCGTTATTTCTGTTGAGCACTATTATGACTGTCCTTGGCTCTTCCTGACAGCCAGTGGCGAGGACCTTGGAACTCCTCCGCCCCTTCGGGTTGCCTCGGGTTGCCCTGAGCTGAGGACTTGGGGGCCAAATCCTTCAGCCAAGCGCCATCTCAGAGCTTCACCTCTCGTTGAGTAGCTGGGTTGAAGAGCCTAAGGAGCCATTTTCTCACCGGCTTAGTGGAAGTGTAACTCGTGTTGCGATGTAACTGATTGACTAGATGCTGAAGGGAGAGCCGGTGGTTTTGTGGAGGGTACTCATTTCCCAGTTGTTCCCTGCAATGCAGGATTGGCTGAAATCTTGACTCCGTTCAGCAACACTGATTTGTAGAGCTGCGTGCGGTCAGACCAGAGCCTGAGGCACGCTTGATGCAGATCTCAAGGATCCGCTGCTGATCGCACGCCTTATCGAGGACGCTGTGGACGGAGCAGTTGTCGTGCCTGCAGCAGAAGATACATAACCAGCCACGCTGGAATTCTGTAGCACAAAAGTTGAAAATGAGATGAAACATCTATTTGAGAAGTGGCAGATTTCGTGGAGACCATGCAGAGGTCCATGTCGGTCCATGCTCAGGCATGGTCCCCATTTGGGTACGACAGCTGTCGGCACAAACGCATGTGCAAACCTGAAAATTACCTACACACTCACAGAACTACCCTTTGGGTTGGCGAGAATTCATCCAGAAATGACTAATCAGCAACGTGAGGGACTTTTGTTGATCCTACTGGGGCTCAGTTTGCCAAGGACCCTCAGCCTGTCAATCCCAAGGTGGGCGTTTCTGGGCCATTGTCCCTGACAATCGCGCCAAGCTTTTCCTTGACACTCGCGCGAGAAAAAATGCCACGGATTTGGTTGCCAACTCCCTAATTGCTACTCAGATTGTAACTGCTATTGCTATCCCTATTGTTGTTTTCACTGATGGTTTCTGCTTCACGCTTGCTTCTTCCCAATGTCAGTCGTCTACTTCTTGTTTACGTTGCTGCCAGTACATGTCGTGAAGTCATGTATTGTAGCTGTCATCAGGGCCATCGGTGCCAAAGACTAATCTGTCCTCCTTCATTTCTGAGGAGAGAAGACCACTAGTTCGCCGCAGTAACCCAAGAAGAGGCAAGAAAAGGCACTAAGACATGATGTGGAAAATCCCAGACGGTGGTTAGACGAGGAATCTCGTCAGGTTTCTGACATGTAGGTTCAGGGTTGTTCTCCACGTCTATGGCTGCCTCCATCCTGAAAGCCCCACCCTCCTGCATTTGGAGTAGAGCTAAGGCAGCTAAGGACCTTGAATTATGTCGCCAACAACGTGACCGTTGCCTTGGAATGATTGGAAATGGTTGAACTTCTTGCAGGTGACTTGAAGACTGATGCACGGGTCATGTTGGGTCGTGACAGCTGACAAGGCTTCCTTGACCTGCCTCATGGTCTGTGGCTCTGCACACAGCATCTCGCTGGCATCAGCTTCAGAGCCGGAATTTCAGTTGGACTACTTGATTTGTGGAGCTATGATTCTAACTAGCATATCCCGAACCAACATGTCAGGTTGTCTCGCTTGATTGGATGTTGGGCTAGATCTTCGCCAGCCTTTTGAGAATCTGACGGGCAATCCACCACTGTCTGAGAAAGTGGGTTGTGGTAGTACCTGCACGGTCAGCTTTCCCTGGCAGCATAATACAATCCTAGTGCGGGGGTGTTGTTGCTTGGTGTTGCTTCTCTTGAAGCCCAGTCACATATTCTTTCTGAAGCCAGTGCGGTAGTTGAACTCAGGTTTGCTGAATCCTGCGAACTGGTTCCCGAGCGAGGGCCGCTGAGTTTGGTGTCAAGGGCTAGAAGGCGCACAGACGGGAACCTCTCTTGAAACTTTCGGACTGACTGGGACATTAGTCTCGGCACGATACCTGGCTTCCTCTCGCTAAGCTGGCCAGCTTGCACCATAGCTGTGGGGGCTGGTGATCGCATGCCCGTCCAAAGAGTGTGCGACCAACTCTCACGTGGTCGCTGTGGCCTGCAGGTCTGGCATGCCAGCAGATCCGTGTACCTGAGATGACTGTCAGATGCCCAGTCGATTTGGGTCCTGCATGCGCCCAAGTAGGAACACGTAGGAACCAGTGCAGCAGAAGCATGCATTGCGACGGTGTGGGGCTCACCTCGCAAAGTAGGATAACACCCACGGATAGTGGTGAAGAGCAATCTCTGGCGCGGCCATAGCCTAATTCTTCGCTCCGGAGGCAGTCTGCAGCCTTAAGGCGCCGTCACCCTCACGTTAGATGAAAACTGCCACAATCATTGCTAGTTGCTAGCTGTCTGCCTCTCATGCCAGCCAATTTGTCATGTGTTCTCTACCCTGGAGACGTGCTTTTTGAGCCCTTG